TGTCGACACTCAGACGATACATAAGCACTGAGAGAACAAATCATAACCAAAACCCAAGTGCTTTTTTGTTTTTGCAGCCCACATGGTGTGAAGTCAAAATCGGCCCCATGCAAAAAAGCAATATCTGATGAGGGAATCGATAAAGAAAAAGCATAAATCTGTGTAGAAAGTGAATTTTAGTACAGTGGGTGAAATCATTATCTGATCTCCTGCTGAATTTGTAAGTTTGCTCACAAAGAAATGAGCAGCCTAGTTGTTTATGGTAGTTTAATTTTAATGGAGACAGAATATTAGATCAAGAAATAAAAAACACATTACATTAAAGTAATAAAACCCCATTTCAGAACAAATATCTGAATGATTCTCAGCACATGTAGAGACTAGAAAGACACGATGGGTTCTTCATATACATGATAAGACACTTAAAAAGAGAGAAGTTCTAAACCAGGTACAGATGCCACATTATTGTCACTGGGACAATGTTTAATTTCATGGTGTCATTTTGTGGTTATAGTTTTTTTTAAAGCATTAAAAAGTGCCATTATAGACATTAGTTTTTCAAGCTTTATTTATTTATTTACATTTATGGAGCTAACCTACTGCACTGTCATTAGATTTTTCCATTATCCAGATTCAGCAAGAAATTGAGATAATCAACAGAAATAGTTTTTTCTTTAAAAACTCTTTCCCGTGATAGAGTATGAGTAAATGTAAAGAGCAGTGTGTTGATGCATATTACACATGAGCCTCATTTCTGATAGGCTGTAAATACTCAACGTAATGCTGGAACATTAACACGTCACATGACCCGAATTAAAAATTGCTTTTATTTTTAATTCGGCGTTTTTTAATGTCTGAACAAAGCAGCGGGGACACACCTGGGCAGGCGGACTGAAGAAACCCGGTTGCGTCACCAACGGATTCCGTAAAAACTGAAACTCCGCCTCTTTGGCTAAAGAACTCGGGCACGAGCGTGAATTACGAGCATACTGTAAATGAAACGGTCCGCCCCGTGGGTCTGCTTACTTTTACGTGACGTAAAGATCGTCCAATCGCAAGTGCCTGTGGGCGGGACCACAGCTAAGTGACGGTGAGCTTTTACAATGAGAAAGCCTCTTTGTGCGCATAACCTATATAAGAGATTTCTGCTGCGGATTCTTTCTTTGAAATAATGTCGGCTGAATATGATAACAGGTAAGGTGGTTGTGAGAGGCCAAGACTAGCTGTCTTATTTTGGGGATGTGCTAGTTATCCGTGTAAAGATAGTCCACTAGTTTTCTGGTTGGAGAGGGAGCACTGAGGTACGGAAAAGCCTGCGTCCAGGAAGTATGAAGGGAAGTCCCACAGTGGAGTTTGTTTAGAGGGCTGCAGTGACTTTTCCATCCAGCCAGTCATTACTTGACATCTTTGCAAATGAAACGTACCCCATGCAATGGCCACCATTGTGGACGAGCTGTTCAGCACAAAATGTTTGCCCGTGTATTACAGTGTGAAACTTCCATGTACAATATTTTTAATCGTTTCCTGCGGTCTGCTCAGCTGGAGTTTAGTGGGAATCCATGGTTATGTTGGCAGGTAAAACTTTTTTCTGGTGAATCTCAGGGAAAGTTGGATTTCTGCAGCATCCATGA